GTCCTCCCCCTGCGTGGGAGCCTAGGGGTGCTGCTATGCCGTCGTGGTCTGAGGAGGCGCGGTCGCGGCATTGTATGACCTTTCCGGCGCCGGCCGTAATCCCCTTGACCAGCAAGTAGTCTAGCCGCCGCGGCTGCATTTGTTGGTTGTATGGGTGGTAGCTGGGTGTACTGAGGTCTTGTGGTGGTAGTGTGATGTTGTTAGCGTCGGCCCAGTCGAGGATGCATTCCCCTCGGCATAGCACCCCACCAGGTTGTTGATCGCGGGGGCAAAGGTCTCGTTGGCGTCGATCCCGAGTAGGAAGCGACATCGGTCCCCCAGTGCCTGTCTCCAGTCTTGGAGAATGTCTTGGGTCTGGGGGATGGTTGCATGGTGTGGGATGTGTCCTGCCAGCGCCCGTGTGATGGTTTTGCTGCTTTTGCTCTTAAGTGTGGTGATCACTCCCCCTTTAGTGACTTCGCTGTGGTGGTGGCTGTGTATTGTTGCTTGGTGAGCTATGCCTTCCCCCCTTGAATTCGCCTTCGCACTTGCCATACACGAGCTGCCACGTGTCAGATTCTGCATGGAACAGGCCGGCTTCCGTGATGATTTCTTGCACTAGGACGATGCACACACAGTTCAGGCCCGGGCTGTCACCGAAGTGGTCGAGCAGTTCCAGCAGTTTGCTGGGCGCTAGCCCCCCGACATTCCATGTCATTGCCCAGAACTGGCCGGGTATTTTTCCCCCCTTGGCCTGGGAGTGAAACTGGTCGCCGTCGATGGTTCAGTTGATCTCCGCCTTAAGCGGAGACCAGGCCGTGGAAACTGTTTCCTGGGTGGTTTTGATGGCCCTGGCTATCTCAGCCAAGTTGACCCACCCCGGTCCGGCGTCCTCTGCTCCCCCAGGTTTTGGGGCGGTTGCTGAGCTGACCTTCACGCTGTCGACCCAGGCAGTTCCTGTGCTGAATTCCATTTGGAGAGCGTCTTTGTTCCCCCCCAGGGTGAGGTACAGGCGCTTCACTTTAGCTGCAAGGCGAGCTCGGCGGCGTCGATCGGGAGGTTGCGACATAGCGATCCAAACTCGCTTGGTCCCCCCGTCTGGACGTCTCCCCAACTGAATGTTCGCGTCTCTGACCTTCGCGATGACCTCCTGGATGCGCTGCTTGCGCTGCTCAAAGAGTTCCTCGTCGATTGGGAGGATAGCGTAGCCCCGGCAGACACCGGGAACGAAGAGCGAGTCCAGGGCAATGGGTGCGTCCACCGTTTTGAGGACATCTGTCACCGCCTCTTTGGTTGTCGTGGCATCTTGGTCTGGGTCCCATCCCCCCACTATCAGTGCAGGTCGCCGGGAGTTGTCGGAAGCTGCTGTGCTCCCCGCCACAGAGGAGGCTCCCCCTCCTTTCTCCAGGCGTTCGAGACGGAGGTTCACCTCTTTGTTGGCTTCCTGGAGTTGCTGCAACATATCCCCATGGGCCGTGTATTTGTTCGTCATGTCGTGCAGCAGGTTGATGGTTTGTTGCATCTTCTTGGTCACTTGGTTCTCTACTTTGTCGACTCTGGTCGCGAAAGCACGTACAGTATGTCTTTTTTGACATCCCCGAGCGCCTCGTTGAGTTCTCCCCTGATCGCCTCCCGAATGATGTCGATATTGAGCGCCAGGTCCTCCTGTTTGTCTGGTGCACGCCTTTTGGTTGGAGAGGAACCTTGGTGGTCAACCTGCATTTCCAGGCCTGCACCGGTGGCCATGGTGCCGATCTCCCCCGCGAACTTCTCTATCTCGCCCCCCAGCAAGTAGTATCACGTTCAGGTAAGTGGCAATGTCCCCCGCCCACGGTCAGGAAGCGGCGGGTCGTGTAATTGGCGGCGCCGGCCTGTAGGCTCGCCGATCTCGAGGGGCGTTCTTGTCCCTAAGGCGCAGCGTGTGGATGCCCTTGTGCTTCGAACCCCCCGAACTCGCGGAGCAGGGCGGTCAAGGCGTACACGCGTGGTTTTGCAAAGACGTAGTAACGCTCGCACACGGGGCTATGTCGGGAAGCGGCACACACTCGCTCCCCTCACTCCCAGTTGAGACCTTCTCTGGCTTTCTGCTACACAGGGCTAGTAGGTCTCATGCCGGTGTGAGACTCACATGCCAGATGAGGCTCTGTTCGGCACCAGCAATGCAGCAAAACCCCCTGAACACTACCTATGGACAACCCCCCAGGCCTCTGCTGTTGCTCCTTGGAGCCAGGGCTCCGGGTTGCACGGGCGCTACTTTGTGGCACCGGTTGAAGCTCTGGTCTTGTCTACAGGCAGGGCATTTGCAGGCAAGGGGAGAGGCACGCACACTCAACAAACACACTCTCTCGATCTCTCTTTGCTTTGCTAGGGGCTTGGGGCGGGAGCAGTCCTCCCGCCCCGCGCGGGTGCGCTGCCCCATCCATCATTTGGAATGGATGGGCTCTGTCTGTACTGGGACGAGTGCTCCTGTTTTTTCAGGAGAAGTAGCGGGTTCTCCCATGGTCTGGAAACAACAAGCAGGTTAATGAGGATGCAGCCAGAGTGCTCGACCATCGGGTTCCCCACGTCACTCAAAGAAAGTAGGTCTCTCTCTCTCTCTCTCTTTCTTTCTTTCTGCTGGGCTTAGGGGTCCCGCGAGACCCTCAGGCTTTAGGCCCGCCCAACCCCCCCACTGTGTTAGTGAGTGGTTGGCATTGGAGTCGTTCCAGAGCGCGGCATAGAACTACCGAATATGCCCCGGGATTACAAGTAGAAAGCCCCCCCGAACACTAAACGCGAAAACAACCCCCGCCTCATCTCCGCGCCCCTATGGCAACTATCCTTAGCCCTTAGTAGGTTCGAGGGGGCATGAAAAAAGCCGGTTTAATTATCCCCCCTTGTTCTCACGCAACAAGGAGAGGATGCGAATTACATGTAGAAGGCGGATCGGACATCGTCGCAATGACGGGAGTGCAGTGAATTGTAAAAGGCGGAAAGAGGCGGCTAAGCGGGCCAGCTTTTGGCAAAAGTGGGACCTATAGTACAGACAGTCGTGCTAGGATGCATCCCCCGGCTGGGTTATGTGGAAAAGGAGAAATCCCCCACCTCGCGAGGCAGGGTGCAAGCTCGAAACTCAGTTGCAGAAGAGGGTAGGGGTGTCACAACAGCAACCAAGCAAAGCTTAACAAACCAAACTCCCCTCTGCAGTCTCTGCTTGAAAAACTTTTTCCGCTGCGCTCACTCCGTTTCAGTGCTGGACCTTGCCGCGTTCCCCTCTCTTCGCTGCGCCATGTACTCTTAACTTCTCTGACTTGCCAACCTATGCTCGGCACAAGGTTGACTGGTCTCCCCCGAGTGCCTCGTAGTTCTCCAGCAGGTAGGTTTGGCATGTCGGTGGTTTGGCGCCGTCTTTTGCTTTGTGGCTCCCCCGCCGGCACTCTGGGTCGTCTGGCTTTGGGTCCTCCGTCTGGCTCGGCGGGTTTCCTGTTGTCTGCCGTGCGCCTTGTCGTCGGCTCCCCCAGTGGTTCTGCGGGCTTCACCTGGTTGGCTTCACGGTCTGAGGGTCGTCCTTCTGCACCCCATGGCCAGTATGGGTCCGCGTCGTCGCTTCCCCCCAGGACTGCACTGTGGGTGTCGTCATTTGGTCGCCGTGTTGGCGATCCCCCTCCCTCTTCTGGTTGGCTGTCTTCACCTCCCCAATCTGGCGGTGTACTTGAGGCACTTTCCTCCCTTCTCGCACTGGTTGGGTCCGCTCCCCGTGAGCTGCTGGCTGCCTCCGTCTGCTTAGTTGTGGGAGGCTTGTCCTTCTCGTCGGGCACATTTGGTTGGTCCTTCTTCTTGGCCTTGCGTTGTGCTGCTTGCCGTTGTCGAAGTTTGCGGCGTATCCCCCACGCCTTTCGTAACATAGTAGGAACTTGTTCCGGGAATCTCATTGCATACGCCCGGTTCTCCGCGGCTATCTTCGGCAGCCATTTATCGACGATGCGTACTAGGCGGTCTGCTTGCTCTCCTAGCCTGAACCTGTGGGACAGTCTGGCCATGTATCGCTCATACTCCACCACAGCGCTGGGCTCCAAGGCTTCCCCCGATGGCTCGAGGAAGTAGTTCTCCCCGTCGTCGGTCCGGACTTGTTGTGTGGTCCAACGGTCTAGCTCATCTGGTTCGAACAGTAAGTGGAGTCCCCCCTGCGTGCGGAAAGCGGTCTTGGCACTTAGTGGGAGGGGCTCTTGTCCTCGTTCTTCAGCTGGCGGCTGCATCGGAGGCTCATACGCAGCATCCCCCAGTCGTATGTTCATACGCTGCACCATGCCGTGCAAGCGGCATTGAGGGTCCTCCCGGTTGTGCGTCTTCCGGAATCCAGGTTGGCAAATTCCGCCGGCGTACCGGCACAGCCGGCATTCTCGGCCATCCCACACCATGGTACTTTGCTATCTCCCCCTTCCGGAAAAATCACGTTCGTGACGGTGATGTACTCCCCCGTTCAGTCAGGAGGTACTGTGGGATCACCGTGGTCACGCAGGTCGCAAGGTCGATGGAGAAGGTCTGCGTCCCCCTCTGCTATAGGGCGATGGGAAGGAGGTTCTTGCAGTTTTTAGGTCCCCCTCAAGGAGATAGCAGTTCGACCGTGCCGTTCACGGTTATTGCTGCGACGTGGCTACCCCTGACAGGGCCTCTTGATGCGAAACGCAACGGGCGGAAGACTCAAGCACCGCTGGAGGAAGACGTCGGAAGCTCCCACGGGGCACAGCCCGAGTTAACTCCGCGTCTCCACCCCCGATGCGGGAAGGCGGTACAGGCCCTCCCACAAAGGTGCAGTACTTGAGCCAAAATGGCTCTTTCTCTCTCTCCGTGTCTCCCTCGCTCTCTTTGTCCATCCTCCCGCTCTAGAGCCTCAATGTGCCTGAATGTTAGCAGGACAGCCTCGTGTCCTGCCCAACAGTGATCATCGACTTGAGGAGCCGACAGCCGAAACTTGAACCCAGCAATACGAGTTGAAGCAACGCTAGAGGAAGTTTGAGTGAATTGACCTCCGGCCAAGCTTCCGGATGACCGTAGTGCATACGCGCTCCAAGAAGAGCCTGAAAGCTGAACAGTTCTTGAAGTCTACAGGTCCACCGAAGTCAGACCTTGTGCGGTACCACTGCTCGATGCGATTCTGACATCCTGGGTGTTCTCCGAGTCACATAGGATCGTTGCAGCACAGTGCCGAAGGCAGTCTCAGCACCAGCCGCGAAGTCACCGAGCGAACCGATGTCACCTACACCCCGCTCTGTGGACGGGGAGCCAATCCCTACCGGTTCCTACTTCCTACGCTCGTCCACGCTGCCCTTGTGCCCGCGGTGCCGCCGAGGGGCTTGTGATGTGCTCTGCGAAGCCCACGATCCGAGGCTCAAGACCTTGGAGGTCTCTGTCACTATCTCCCAAGATTCAACAGCGCAGGGGTCTTCATGTCGAGTGCCCGAGAAAAGTTCACAGTCGTGAGATAGAAAGAACAGAACAAATGGATGCAACGCTGCGAAGATCAATCTTAAAGGAAGCTGAATCCTCAGAGGCTGACCTCCCATCTTGCGGTCACGCCGGCGGAACTCCCCCAGCGCACAGGGAAGCCTGAGTGCCGGCTTTACGGCCTTCGAACGAGCCCAAAACTCAGTGTGTCGACGAGGTGCAGCAGCATTTGCTCGAAATATCCACCCTGGTTGGCATCGATGGCCTCGCCAACACGGGGCGAACTTGGCATAGAGCCCGGGACCGAGAAATTGTGCACGGGACCTGGATGATCGACCCACGTGTAAAGACGATCCTCAGATTTCCAAGCGGACAAAATCCTCCGTACCAGCTGTTGCTGCTACTTCCGGTCCGACGTCCTCCCCTGGTTGCAATAAGTGCGATGGTTTGCCGAAAAAGCGTGCACCGCTGCCTGTCAATTCTAAACACATCCATGATCGTGCATACATGATCTGCGCTCCGATTTCCTGGTTCGTCAAACCAGGAGTGGGAAGCTTCTCTGAGAAGCAGTGGGCGGTTCAAGGTCTCCTGTGCGTGTTAAAGTGCCTGGTTTGTCACCGAAGCGTGGCACGCACCACCACGGGTCAGTTTTTGCGGGATACGAGAAGCCGCAAGCCAAAACCTACGTAGATGCGCACATCATCTGCGTGCAGATCAGCTTCGCGTGGTTCTGATTGTCGCCCTTCCCATCCCCAAGTATTGGGAAGCCTCAGCACAATGCGAATCTCTGCCGCAACAGGGTCTGCTCCTTCCTCCTGCACAGTCGATGGGATCTGCTACATGAGAGCCCGTGACAGCAACCGGCCAGCCCACCACACCATCAAATGTGTGGCCAGAGAAGCCATGTCACAGATTCCCATGCAAAGCATCTCCTCAATTTCGGCTGAGTCACCTGGCAACTCGATCTTGAATCGTGGCTTCCGTCGTTTCGGATTCTCGGCCTGGCCGCACACTGGGAATCCAGATGCAGGGCAGAGGCAACAGTGGCAGCCAGCGCCTCCATGGCACAGCCCTCATCAATCAAGCAGCTGTAGTAGCCTTCATCTTTTGAGTCAATCACATGGAGGGAGGGAGGGAAGGTGAGAGAGAGAGAGAGAAAACAAAAAAAAAAAAAGAAACTGCCTACGGGACTCAAGACAGGCGAAGATGACACGGAATCAGTCTCATGCTGACTGTTGCTCCGCCCAAAGTCACAGCGACTCGGGACTGTTGCGGCGTCGGTGTAGATTCAGACAGAGCGGCGTCTCTGCTGCTTTGGATGGATACAGTCCAGCACGGCAGCTTCTCCTTTGCCCTCGTGGTCAATGAAGGCTATCTGGAAACTCCTGTGACCGGTCCACATGCTCCAAGCTTTGATCAAACTGTTTGTCTCCATGGGTCAGCAGGTGTCCTTGGGAATTTCCGAAGCAGGATCTCCGTATGCTCGTACTGCACATCCTGAGATGCGCGACTCTTCGATGCTTGGTGAGGTGAGAGGTGAGGGCAGATGCAGGGTCCTCGAAGAAAGCATACATCTGCATCGAAACCATGCAGGTGAAGACCTGGATCGGCTCAACTTTGGACGCAGGGGGAACGAGTACAACGAAGCACCCCTCAGAAGTCTACGAAAACTCGCAAAAAGCCTCTAACCTTCGCCTTCATTGCTTGGGGCAAGCGCCTCCGTTGGATCCCACACCGCAGCCATGGCAGAGTCTTTGTTCCGTTCCTTCACCATCTGATGGAAGCACTCAAGGGCAGGGAGGTAGTACCTAAGCTGTGAAGCTGTGAACTACCATGTCATGTTCACCCGTCCTCCCTTTGGCACACATACACACAAAAGAGCCCCGCACTGAAAATCCAGCAAACCTCAGGCTACAAGCTCCGAGCCGCATGAGACCCACAACGGTTCGCCAAAGCGTTTGTGAGCGCATCGAGGCCCACCCGCAGAGCTTCTCCCAATGGGCAGGATCCGTGTACTGATCCCTGGGGAAGTGCGGAACTCATGGCTCTGATGTGATGTTGCGGTTGAGGGTCTTCAGGCGCTGACCCGAAACGTGCAACTGAAATTGCTACAGAATCGCGGCTCCGTCTTCTTCTGTTAGGGGGTCCTGAGGCTTATGTGCGTTCTGGTGCTAGATCCCCCGGTTGGCCAAGCAGGCCAAAATGCAGGCATGGGACCATCGGCTTCCTGCGTCGGGCCACGAGGGATCCATGCCCTTCGTCCGAGAGGTGAAAGCTAGGAAGTCATCGTGGTACCTTTCAGGGGTTGAGCGACTTTGGAAAGGCAGTTTGGGAAGATTGATGCAGCCGAACTGTTTTGTTTACCCCGTCAGGATACTTGTAACATTGTAGGGGCCCGGGGTATTGGCTCTAAAAAGCCCTAACCCTGAACCCTTAAGCCCGCCTCTTCTCAAGCCAGGAGATCAAGGGAACTTCCTCTCCAGAGTTGCTGACGCCAAATTCCACCTGACTGGAGCGTCGTCGGCCCTGCCACATCTTGCATTCAGCTCAGGCACAAGGCTCACGGGGTTCGTCCAGGTCTTGGAGTATAACAGGACCCCAACCATTCATGCCCTGCCCCGGCATGCCAAGCAATGTGCCCTACCCCTGGGCCTGCCGGGGAGCAGCGTCGGGATGGAGGTCCTGGAGAGGACAACGGCTCTTTTGCATCGGCTTCTTGGAAAAAGGGCAGAGTCTCGGACCGCCAAAGCCCCAAAGACCAACAATTGCCCCAATTTGGCTAAACTGCTGCGCCAGCCTTCTTGCACAGCAGAATCTGCTCTCCATAGTGGGGGATCAGCACCTTTCATTCATGTACGATCATGTACGACAAGCCAGGACATCAATGATCTGCCCACAAACATCCGAGGCAGCGACTGTAAGTCCAGGGATGTATGGCGTCACGAAGGGTCTGGGCAAGTCCCCAGATGCCAGATTGCCTCAGCCAGGGATAAAATCAGTGGACTTCATGCGTCACCCTGCGTGCTTTTGCAGCCACAGCTTGGGAGTGCAGCCGTCGACCCTGCCAAACCGGACTTGTCAGGCACGAGGCGTGCAAAGGCGTTGAGCCGCCACTGAACCTGCGATCGCATCAATGTGCAACGGTGCTTGAGCTCTGACACGCGACATGGTGCAAAATGCCCTGCGCAACATGACCGCGCACGGCAGCTCGCAGCAAGTCTTACAGTTGCAACCTTCGGCCACAAGCAACCGTTCGGAAAACGGCCAAGACAGCTCATCAACTGAGCTGACAGCTTTGCCTCCGTGCTCCACGGCCACGTGTCCGTCGGGAGAATGCCTCGCTGCACCAAAACAGCTGCACGTTCGGGAATCGCATGAGCGCAATGAACTGACGACGATACTGCTTGCCGCCACAGATGCCTAGATCGCGTTCCAGGCTCCTCGAATGACGGAGGCTTTCAAGCAGCAAGGTTTTCGGGTGCAGAGGAAAACATCCGGTAGAAGTTGTTTGTCTTCAGCAAACCTGCTGCTCGTATCGATCGTTATGTCTCAACTACTTACATTCAATCGGACTTACGTCCAGGAATGGCCTCTGCCCAAAGTTCATGACGTCAAAGATGGGGGGCGGCGAGAAGCGCTGCCGCTCCTGCAGCTGCCTGGCTGTGCAGCTGGTCAGGAGTAGCACCAGGCCTAAACTTAAAGAGCGTCAGTAATCATTTCAATCTTATCAATGACAGAGCGAAACCGAGCGAATGACGTGCAACCCAGCTGTGCAAGTTTACTCTGGCGGCACCGTGCCTGTGGACGCTTTCCTCAGCTTGGCAGTGGCGGGCATGCTAGAAAGTACGCTGCAAGGAGAGTGCCAGGCCAGATGCACTGTCGCGGTAGAGTCACACGCAAAGGCACGGAAACAGAGTGGGAGTCTAACGTCTAGAAGCTCTGACTTCATCTGACAAAGGCTCCCAGGAGACAGATCGCCCTTCCCCCGAGACCGTGAACTTCATCTGTCCTGAGTGCAGTGAGCAGGGCTGCTTTGAGTGCGACTCACGAGTCGGAGGGAGCACGGCGTGAAACGAGGACGTCAAAAGCAGCATAGCGGCCTATGATGAAGTCATCGAGCTTGTCTTCGTAGCGCATGATGTCAATAATCCGATCCTCGGAGCTGCAGAGAACAGGACTCGCTAAAAAGCCTGCACCCGAGCACCAGCTCGTTACCAAGCCGTGCTTTGTGTTGAGTCTGCACTCGGACACTCCGGCACACGTGAAAGCATCACGCCGAACACTGGAAGCGACGTCTGGAACTTCTCTCGAAGACGGTGTGCTTGCATTCCCGCCGTGATTGATGTAGCAACCCGCCGCCGCAATTACTGCGAACAGTCCTCACCATCATTCCAAACTGCCTTTAACTCTGAAGCCGCAACCCCTCAGTCGTACTGCTCCCTGCTTAATGCACCTTGTAGAATGCGTTTTGCCGCTCGGCTGCCCTGCTCAACTTTCAAGCCAAATCAACAGTACATGTGACTGCATAACTCTCCAGCCCCCAAACCCCGAAGTCCCGAAGACACTACCAATCCGTACTAGTACTTGAGCAGCTTTGTACAGACCTACATCAACGAACCTCCGTGCTCCTTAATTACATCTATGTCAATTCTGAACCGGCTTCATCACGACTGGACGGCTTCTGCTTGGAGGGCGCACCCGAAAAGCTCGTGTTCAAGATATATGATGTATCCCAATCGGCAAGTGAAGGGGCGCTTTTGAGATATAAAGTGACCCGGAATCGACACATGAGGGGGCGCGAAAATAATGGAGCCGTATTCCGTCTCAATTTCATTATTTTCGGTGGCGGGGCTGGGGGGGACAGGGCACCCGTATTGTTATTTGAGGCAGGAAAATAACGGATCCATTTTCCATGTCCATTTCATTTTCGCAGGGGGGGACTGTTCCTCCTGTCAGTATTTTCGGACGGGGAATAATGGATCAATTTTCTATTTCCATGTCTTTGCTTTCGGAGGGCGTCGGAGTGGGGGCTGTTCCTCTGGAGCCAACTAACGGATCCATTTTCCATTTCCACGTCATGTTTTCGGAAGGGTGGAATGGTCCTTCTGGTGCAAAATCGTGGATACATTTTCCATATTTTTTTCATTGGCACCATGCCTAGCATTATGAGTAGTATTATTATTCTTACTGTTATTACTACTATTATTATTGTTATTCTTCTTACTTTCTTTCAGTCAGGAGGGGGGCGCCATTCTTATCATTTCTATAGTAGAAAAGGAAGGATCTATTTTCCATGTCGAATCCAGTATTTTCTCGGGTGCGTCTTGTCTGCTTGGTGAGTGGCAGTCTCAATCTTAAAGGCTAGCCGATTTGTGGGAGAAACGCCTTGAGCGATCACACCACGTTTAGTTGTGTACCCGTCTGCTTCTAGATGTTAGTAGCATCTCTAGCTGCTCATTCCGTGTATATACATGTTGATATATATATATATATATATATATATATACATACATACGTACGTACGTACATACATACATACATACACGCATAAATACATACGTACATACATACACACACATATATATATATGTATAAGAATATGTACAATTTGTGTGTGTAAATATTTGTATACATATATATATATATATATATATATATATATATATTCGTTTTTTGCTTGTTTATAAAAGGGTCTGGAATTAGTTTGGGATTTTTTTTGGGGGGGCATTTTTTTTTTTGTGGTTTGCTTGGCCGATCCCTGTGGAGGGTTCATCGGGGACGTAGAAAATTTGCACCGCACCACAGCGCCAGCGCTTCGACGCGCAGGATCCCTGTGGAGGGTTCATCGGAGTTTCCTTGATGTCGTCGTGGTCGTCGTCCTGGTTGTTGTTGTTGTTGCTGTTGTTGCTGTTGCTGTTGTTGTTGATGATGTTGTTGTTGGTCGTGGTTGTTGTTGTTGCTGCTGCTGTTGTTGTTGCTGTTGTTGCTGTTGTTGTTGTCGTTGGTTGCTGTTGTTGTGGTTGTGGTTGTGCTTGTGGTTGACAGGGTGAGGGATCAAAAAAAATTTAAATAAGGATCAAAAGATTAAAGCACCAGGGTCAAAAAACTAAAACAATGATGAAAAAAATAAGTCACGTAAAATACAGCAATTCCTGGGGCAGAGGCATAAATAAAAAAACAAAATAAGGATCAAAAAAATTGAATCACTCAAAATACAGCAATTCCTTAATTTCCCAAGGGAAAACATTATTTTCCTATGGATTTTCTTTCATTTCCTTAGGATCTGATTGGTTTTTCCTCGGGGAAACACGATTTTCCTACGGATTCCGTGGTATTTCCTGAAATTTTCCCTGGTTTTTCCTAGGACAAACACCATTTGTCTATTACCTATGGCATTCGTGTCATTTCTTCAGGTTTTCAGAAGGAAAACATACGTTATCTTTGGTTGTTCCTCGGGAAAATCAAATTTTCGTTGCAATTTCGCATTAGGACGGAATTCGTGTTGTAGCTGTTGCTGGTATTCCGCTTCATCACCTATCTTAAACACACCCCCTCAGTTGGCGATTCTAGTTAGCGGGGGGTTGGGGGGGGCGCAGCCCCCCCCCGTTTGCAGACACAACGCTCACATGATGGGTTTCGAAAACACTCTTTGAATCAAGCTTGCACGGCTCGAAAAGCGCGGCGGTGGGTCTTTCGTTCTTCCGTGCCTGTTCGTGTCTCTTCTTCCGTCAGCATTCTATAACATAATATAACATAGTAAACCATAAGAACGACATAAGATGGTTCGACATCACAAAAACCGTGTGACATTTTCTGACATAACAGAACCTTGCTTCTTATAGCATCTAATAAACATAACAAAAGACGACAATACAATATAACAGAAGATAACATAGAACAAAACAAGATCTTAGTTTATAGTGTAGTACATTGTAACATAGTACAATATAGTTTTTATATATAGAACATAATATTTGGTATATAATATAACATCAGGTTACATTATGCTAAATATTTTAGGGTCCATTACGATATTATTGCATATTCGATTGGACTATGTAGTATCCTATTGCTTGTATCTTTGTTTCTGTGATTCTTTCATGTTCTTTCTCTTTCGTATTTTCCAACTTTGCCTGTTTTTTCTGGATTTATTTCTTTCTTTCGCTCGTTCATTTCTTTTATTTCTTTCTGGTGTTCTTTCTTTATTCATTTCATACTCCCTTCCTTCCTTTCTTTCTTGCTTTCTTTTTCATTTATTTCGTTCTTTTTCTCGTCCTTTCTTTCTTTCGTCCTGTCTTCGTTTCTTTCTTTCTTTTCAGATACAGCAATTCTTGAATTTTTCCAAGGGAGAACACTGTTTTCCTATGGATTCTCTTTCATTTCCTAAGGATTTGCTTGGTTTCTCCTCTGGAAGACATGATTTTCCTACGGATTCCGTTGTGTTTTCCAAGTTTTCCTTAGTTTTTCCTAGGAAAAACACCATTTTTCTATTACTTATGGCATTCGTGTCATTTCTTCAGGTTTTCAGAAGGAAAACATACGTTATCTTTGGTTGTTCCTCGGGAAAATCAAATTTTCGTTGCAATTTCGCATTTAGGACGGAATTCGTGTTGTAGCTGTTGCTGGTATTCCGCTTCATCACCTATCTTAAACACACCCCCTCATTTGGCGATTCTGGTTAGCGGGGGGGTTGGGGGGGGCGCAGCCCCCCCCCATTTGCAGACACAACGCCCACATGATGGGTTTCGAAAACACTCTTTGAATCAAGCTTGCACGGCTCGAAAAGCGCGGCGGTGGGTCTTTCGTTCTTCCGTGCCTGTTCGTGTCTCGTCTTCCGTTAGCACTCTATAACATAATATAACATAGTAAACCATAAGAACGACATAAGATGGTTCGACATCACAAAAATAGTGTGACATTTTCTGACATAACAGAACCTTGCTTCCTATAGCATATAATAACATAATAAAAGACGACGATACAACATAACAGAAGATAACATAAAACAAAACAACATCTTAGTTAATTTATGTCATTTCGTCTTTCTTTATTTCTCCATTTTTGTTCATTCGTTATGTCTGTATTATTTGCTTTTCTTTGTTTCTAACTCTCGTTCGTCCTTTCCTTGTGTTTTCTTTTTTCTTTCCTTATAGCTTTCTTTATTTATCTATTTGTGTATTTTTGATTTCTTTCTTTCCTTATAACTATGCTTTATGTATTTCGTTCTTTTTTGCTTTCTTGCTTTCTTCCGCTCTTTCTTTGTTTCGTTCTTTCTTTCTTTATGTTTCTTCTCTCTCTCTCTCTCTGTCTTTCTTTCTTTCCTTCGTTCTTTCTTTCTTTTTTTTCTCTCTCTCTCTCTCTCTCTTTCTGTGTCTTCTTTCCTCCGTTACCCCCCCCCTCCTTTCGTGGATACCTGTTTAATTTTTTTGTGATCCTTATTTAATTTCTTTTTGATCCTTATTTTATTTTTTTGATCCTTATTTAATTTGTTTTTAACCCCTATCCCGTGGTTGTGGTTGTGGCTGTGGCAGAGGACTAGGGGACCGCATGCACCAGGGGACCAGGAGACCACGGGACCAGAGGACCAGCAGACCAGAGGACCAGGGGACCACAGGACCAAGGACCAGAGGACTAGGGGACCGCGAGCAGAGGACCAGGGGACCACAAGACCAAGGACCAGAGGACTAGGTGACCGCATGCACAAGGGACCCTTGGCCGCACCTCGCAAACAAGGGTAGGCCGCACCTTGGAAAAAAAAAAAACATGGCCCCTATCCCGCTTTACTGACCTAAATTCGCCTCGGCTCGGCTTAGGGTTGAGGGCGTGACTTAAGGACTGATTTATGAGGCTCTCTATGCCGAAGACAAAAGCCAAGAAGCCGAAAAGCCAAGAAGCCAGAGGCCAAGAAGCCAGGGAAGCCGAGAAGCCAAGCCAAGCGCGCACACAAGCCAAAAAAAAAAAAAAACAAAAAAAAAAAAAAAAAAAAAACCTAAAATAAATACGCCTCCTTTATAAAATCCACGCAGATTGTTGAAAGACTCCAAGCCGTGACAGAAGACTTCTGGGCTGCCGGCCCAAAGGTCCGGGAAAAACTTCTGAAACCACTGGGAGTTTGCCGTGGCTCGCGGCGCCGGCACGGAGCCCTGGCAATACTCACAGTCTGTCTCTGTCTGTCCGTCGCTGGCCGTCCGTCCGTACGTACTGCAAACTGCAAGCTGCCCGAGGCCTCCGCGAGCCTATGGCGGTTTCGTCTTCCCTCGGGTGCTTCGAGGATGACCTTCGGCTGAGGCTGAAGGAGAAGAACATGTGCAAAAACGTTTGAGTTGTCGTCGCTGCATGCATTCAAACTTGTAGCTACTTGCAAGCAATTCAATCAAGCAGCTCGCTCTGCAAAGCGCTGGGGCACGGCGGACAAGGCATCTTCTGTCAGCAGCTGCTGCACACCTGAGACTCAGCTCCGCTTCCCAGCCAGCGGCCGGCTTGTCCCCAAACCCCATCCAAGGAGAGGACGCCATCCACGCTGGTGGAATGCCAAGAGCATGCCCACGACTGAGCAAACCAAGCAGAACCAGAACTGCGTGTCGGCCTTGGCTTTCTCGGTAACCAGCAGTGTTGGATCAGAACTTCCGAAGACGCCAGCTCACCAAGGGCAGCAGACGGAGCTCCGGAGCTTCCACGCAAAGCTTGAGCTTGCTTCTCTGTCTTCAGGAAACCTTTACTGAAGATAGAAGGATGAGAAGTGAAAGTGGAGGTTTACAGGTCGACGGTATTAACTGAATGACGAAGATGACCCCTACCACACGCGTTCGCCATCGCTGTCACTGTTGCGATGGTCTTCGTCATCGTCGTCACAATGACCATCAGCAAGATCTACATCAACATAACTGTATACTGCCAGAAACATCGCCATCATTGCAGTCGTCATCACCATCATCATCATCATCATCGTCTCGGTGCCATGCATCGCCATCACCGCCATCCTGAAACGCATCGCTTTGACCGCGATCGTCACCAGCAGAAGACCACCATCAATGTAGCTTTACCACCCAGCATCACCTCCCTTTCCCCACTTTCATATCCACGTCCACCTCCTCCTCCTCACCCTTGACAAGCAAGACATCATCATCACCAGACCACTGACGGGGACATGAGTAAGGAGTTGCACCAAAAAAAAATGGGGGACGCCAAGTTGCTACGTAGCACAACAGGCCGGTGCCCCAAAGTGCCACCCACTCGATGATGTCCTGCGCAGCTTCAGGCTGAAGTCCAAAAGTCCCTGCGGTTTGCTGAGAAAGGCTTGGGATCAAGGGCACCGGTGCCCTGAGGAGATCGGAGGAATGGGCAGAAGATGCCTAAATACCACGGCAGCCACTTGTTGCGGCAGAGCCCTCACACCCCAGCTCCTTGTCCCAGTTGGGGCCGAAGGCAAAGCTCGGAATTTCATCTATCGGTTCACGTCCAAGGCGGCTGATCTCGGGAGACAGCTGAGAATGTTTGGCACAGATAGTGAGATAGAGAGACAGAGAGACAGAGAGAGAGAGAGAGAGAGAGACAGAGAGACAAAGAGACAAAGAGACAGAGAGATAGAGATATGGACATACATAAGCATGTTCATCTACATGTACACATACATGTGTATAGTGCATTATATATATATATATATATATATATGATTATGTATGTGTGCGTATTTTTTGTTGTTATGTAACCATAACATTGCGCATTGAAGCCGTCAGAAACCAAACAGCATGGGAAGACTGGATGCGCCACCTTCAACTCGGCCGTCGCCCTCTCGATGGCGGCAATGCCCCCGAGGCCCGCAAAGAACTGCCAAAGGCAGTGATGGAATTGACTTCTAGTGATCAACGAGCGGCTGTTTCGTCATCGTTTCGAAACCCGTTCGCTTGAAACCTGGAAGGCTCACTGCTCAGGGCCCGCTGGTTTCGGAAGCCTGCTTGCTGGTTATATCCAATGATGTCGATGTAAAAAAGATGAGAAAGCGACAGTGTACGTAATGAGAGTTCGCAGATTTCCGACCAGGTGTGCAGGAGGAATCGAGAAACAGAAATCGGTTGAAGGCCCACCCCTCAAAACAATATGCATGCTGCTCGGAAGCTTGCATTCCTCGCTGACAGCAACTTGTTTGAAGGGGCCTTCACCGCCAGGATCGCCAGCCAGATGAGCCAGCGCAAGGACTTCACGCTCCACGGTGTTGGTGTAGCTGGGCGGAGGGACTTGAGTCTGGAGCTTCCTGCTTAATCTTGGTTGTCCAAAGTCGCAAACGCACTCACCCAATGCGACCTGGGCGGAAAGGCGCACCACTTGCACAGGGCTGCAGGAGGATCAGGAGTGCTCCAAAGCTGCAGACCTGAGAGTGTCTTGCGAGGCCGTGCTTTCTTTTTGTCTGTGGAGTGTTCATGGCACCGGGAGCTTAGGTTTTGGCTTAAGACGGGTAAGACCTGGATACGGGTAAATTTCTTGCGAAAGACAGGAGAACAAGGATCAGGCACAAGGCTGCTTCAAGGCTCAAGGCGGAGCCAGCAAAGAAGGCACAGAAGCTGTGACTTCATGCGAAGCTGTCTGCCGTTTAGAGCAGGATGATGCTCTGTTGTTGGCGCAGGCGCGGGGGCGGGTGGCCTTGAGAAGCTGCTGCTTATTATCCCCTCCTATATCAAATTTCTTCGGGATTAAAACACGGCCCCAGCAGGGAACATCCTCATGCCGACAAAGTACGAAGACGTGCACTTGCAGCGCCATGTTCAAGGAAAGGAAAGGGTGAACCTGCCCAACGCGGGAAACATGGTCCAAGCAAGCTCCCGGGACTCCGGGCTCAGCTCGTGGGCTTTGGAAACTTGTAGCACATTGCAACATACAGCGCAGTATCGCCCATCGCAGTATAACATTGCAACATACAGAACGCAGTGTTACTGTATCGGCTTTGCTTACAAACTTCGGCTCTCCAGGAGGGCTCCTGTCCCAAAGCGCGGTTGGCCTTGAGCCACTCGTCGTCACCGAAAGCATCCAACCAGCGGACCCACAGAAAGGTGGCGATAGGAACGAACCTCATGGATCTTGCGCTGGGATGTGATAATAGCAGACTGTACACTGATATCACTGACATCTATCATCCCAAAAGATTCGAGGCGTGTACAGGCCGGAAGGTCAATCCCATAAACCCGGTAGAGGGCGCTGGGACATGAGCTGCAACCAAGAAGCAGAAGAACCAGCCTCAATTGAAGAAGAGCCTTGGAGAGAAAGAGACAGAGTCTCAGAGGGCATATCGAGCAGGGCCAAAGTTCCCAAATTCCCAGCAGGGCCAGGCTTGGAGTGTTCTTATTGCGCACGTATTGAGCTCAGACAAGACATTCTGTACTGCAGGTGCTAAGAATCATGAGCACGGCGCCTTTGGGAAATGAGGAACCCTTCTAAGCGGCTTCTGAAAGCAGGGCAAGGGGTCCAGTTTTGAGACGCACACTTAGATCTATCAATCCGTTCGTCGACAATGTCAGCCCCGGCTGGTGTTGCTTACACCTCCGTATTCAACTTTACTGCATCGTATTGCGATGCTTTTCACGTAGATGCTGAAACCTGTGCTACTCAGCTCAGTCGTTTGCTATCGCCGTATGAAGAACCGCGAAGAAACAGATGGCAAACCGACAACAAACTGAATAAAAGATGATACAGCTCATGCCAACTCATGCGTTCTTAGAGAACGGAAGCACATGGTGCTGAGCAGAGTCTGGACCTAGGATTTGGTACACCTGAACTCTGGGTCGTGGCACATGCAAGAGCAGGGTCTGGATCTTCTGGCAAGTGCTCCCCTCGCGGTAGTTCGGCCGCAAGGCGCTGCCGGTGGTGAACCAGCCTTCGAAACAAGACTCATGAGAGACTGCCAGGCGCGACATAAGACCATCGAGCCCTTGCTTCCGTTTTGGACGGGGAACTTCAAAGCTGGGCAGCTGGGCGTGGCATCAGCCCTGGCCACTCGGCGTACGCATTCTGAAATCCTGTGATATTGTAGCAACCAACACAGGAAATGTGGAGCCCGAGGTGCGGCTCATCCAGTAGAATGCCAGGTGCAGGGGCACCTTACTTCCAATTTCTTGAGCACCAACGCGGTTTAGCATTGCTTTAGTCTTCGTATGCCATACACCCGATGCAACCACCTCAACAACGAATCTACTGCTGTAAAGCTGCATGGTGGCAAAACGACAAATAAAGACGCTTGAGTGATGTCGCTCAAGACCAGATTCCAAGATTGCAGTATTAGGCAGTGGCGGCCGCGGCTGCCACCGGCTTCGCCCAAATCCGAAACAGCGGATCTGACTATCTGAGACACAGCAGAAGGTCTCACAAAACTGTACCCCAGTCTCGAACCAGACTTAGTTTCCACTTTGGCAGATGCATGCTACAGCCCTATCCAAGCTATTGGACATCGCTGCAGCTTCCGTCCGAGGAACCACTAGACCAATGGCGGAGAGGCAAACCAATGGTGAGCCCCCACCTAGGGGCGTCGACCAACCTCCGCAGCATGAGCACAAAGCACGTCGGGACACCCCTGGCTGCCAGCTGACGAATCCAGAAACCGACAGACAACCAGTGCACTTTCAGAGAAGAATAGGAATAGATATTGGTAATGTAACTCGAAAATCGGTAAAAGATGCGTGCAACAAACTCAAGCGTAGATGCTGCTGCCTGAGCCAGGGTCGTGGAAGTTCCGCGAAGAAACCCACCACATCGACAAGGCATAGAGCCTGAGCTGCGCTTCAATTGATCGGATTGACCAACATGTGAGCGAGAACCTCTGTTGCACAACTCAATTTCGCTGCGTGTTTGTCAGAGTGCATGACCCAAACAGGTGATTGCAAGCATCGCACTTGCAAAGAGCGGGTTTGGCAGAGCAGTAGAAACGGTCGGGGCCAGGACATTTTTGCGGAGCAGTAAGGCTTGGCGATGCAAAGAAGCACGCTTATCGTCCAAGACACAAGACATGCAGGAACCACAAGCGGTGAGTAGCTGCAAAGACTCCCCACCTTGATCGCAGGTCACCATGGGGCATGTCTGGAACATGAAGGACACTCGTCCGAACTGGTGCTCTAAGACTCCAAGTGCACATCAGCCCGAACATCGCGTTGACTTCACAGCACCGTGCCAGCTCAACCCGACTCTTCGACTGGTCACTGGCTTCCATGCCAGACTCTGAACAGCTCAGCCCTCTGAAAATGGCCAGGCTGCCATGAGTGAATCTCTCTGTGCGTCTTCACATTCATCGAGTACAGGGCACTGGCCCAGTCCACCTCGAGGGAATGTCACGACAACTCGCTTGCAATGCGCTCGTTTGTCTTCGTCCTGCCTTCTTCAGCGCCTCGTACCGAAGATGCTTGGGCTGATTGAAGAGGTTCCTTAAGTCCAGCATCCCAGTTCCCGTGTCTCATCCAAGTTAGCCGCCAGGTGGGATCAATGAGGGCTTTGTTCCATGTTCTCATGCAACAAGAGTAGGATCCATGACCAAGCTGGCAAAACAGGAGCTCAAGTTCTGCCCTCAGCCATCCACTTTGCAGTGGCAGCGGAGATTGGCTGGACTAATTTTTCAGCTGAGGCTCGGCAGAGCTGCCTGAAGCCGCTTGGGATCCTGGAAGAGCTCGTTCCTTGAACCATGAAGGGAAGTTCTACAACCTGAGGTTCGCCCGCTGCGTGTGAGCTAAGTCCAGGTCCAGTCGTCGTAGTTTGCACCTGGCGATGGCAGCTTCGAGAGGCAACGAAGAGCTCTCTTCCAGGATGCCAGGCCCGGCACAATCTGGCGGCAGGTATGTAGCATAGCCATCCTTCAGCACTTTCTCCTTGGCCATGGACTAACAGATCTAACGGTTTATCGGTGACCACGCCACGAGGCTACAGATACAGACAAAGCCTCATCCTTTTGCCGCTGTGTCGGGTTCTCTGGTCCAACTTTGACATAATGCTCGTCAAAGACCACCTCTGCTGTAGAAGCAGCTGCTGGTCTGGCGTTTCTTTGGGAACAGTGGCCTTGCAGGGGGGGGGTTTGCAGATCTCTTCGACAAGTATCAGAAATCCTTCAGTACTCGTTGGCAGGACTTCGCTCACTCAAGAAAGAGTCTATACTACAGTAGTTCATAATACGGCTTGGACCCCCAACAGCAAAAGCAAACCTATCCGCCCAAGCCATACGTAGCCATTCCAGGAGCACCCCTTAAACTCCTGAAGATGACCCCATCAGGTCCGGAATGCCTGCCACAGTGTGGCTTCTGCCCCAAACACTCAATACACACGGCAGCATGGTGGGAGCGGGTTTCAGCAAGTTAGGAAGCGCCAAAACATTGGATTCTACGATGCGGCTGCTGCGGGACTATGGAAAATGTGCACTGGCCAGAGTGGGAGCCCCGGGCGGTGAGTGTGATGCAGGGCGTGAGCAACCAAATACCTTTGCACCAAACGTTTGAACGCCATAGCGTTGCCACGCAGATTGGGGAGTCTCATTCTTAGGAACCACAATCTTGCTCAGAAACGCTTCATCGCGGCCTTGTAAATGGGCCGGACAATCTTCACAAGGAAAGCTCCACTGCGACCGGAATGCTCCTGTCGGCAAATGCGACGCCAAGTGCAGCTCCAAGCCGTGGGCAACAAGACAGATCAAACCTTGCCGCTTATCAGGACGAGTGTGCCAAGCATGTGCCCACAAAGACAGAGAGAGAGAGAGAGAGAGAGAGAGAGAGACAAACAGAGAGAGGGCGAGAGAGAGAGAGAGAGAGAGAGAGAGAGAGAGAGAGAGAGAGACATAAAGTTGAGCCCACTGCACTGCGGAGTTGCATTCCCTCCTTGACTTCCCCCCCCTCACGCCAAAACAATGTTCATTCCCCAAAACCCATGTCCTCACAGTGCACCGGCTCGGAATCTAGTGCCAGTTGTGTGATGAAGCACAGCATCTCGGGCATGAATAGCAGGTTGCCTCACGGCCCGCGGTTCGTGTGCTGAGCTTCGCAACAGGGCGGAGACAGCAAGCAGCCTGCTTCGCCCCAGACAAGAAGGAACGTTGCCACTTCCTGGAGCGACTCCGAGGCATAGAGACATGAAGGACTTCGCAATTCCCAAAAGTCAACACCTTTCCGCACTCCACAAGTCACCCCTCTTCCGCATGCAAAGCTGCGAAGCCACCTGAAGCCTGTATTAATCCCGCGCCCCGTAGTCCTCTAGCTTCGCCAGAGTTGGCTTCGCTGCTTGGTACTGGGAGAATTGCGCACGCTCCGCGGACTCGGGGACACACCACTTCACCTCCACCTGCCGGCACGGCTACAATACGACCGTGAGCAACTCCTTGCTTAGCTTTGGGTACCCTGTGACCGGAAGACCGCTACACCGTATCAAGGCCCAGCCATGTACGGCCTGGAGGGAAGTCGAGATGCTCATGGAGCCCTGGCCGCATCAAAAAGCCAGCGAAGCTTTACTCTTGTCAATACAATACGTAAATGCCATGTCAGCAGTCTGTCGCACCGGCGGCTCCGTCACCGTGCCTGGTATCGCGGAGACTCATCGGGTCCTTCTGGGGTGACCCCCAGCTTGACACCTCTGCGACACGTTGCACATCCGCCAAGTCTCGTACACTACATTCCTCGTCAGTCCATGTCAGTCCCATGCCGACGTTCTCAAAAGGAACAAGATTCCAGTGACAAGCGTGCCCTTGGACCAGCCTTGATCCTGGAACGTCGCTCGCCACCATCGCAGGCCGCGAAGTAGGTCCTCCATGCCCGTATGAGTCAGGCACTTCTCACTGCCGTCTGTCCGTCTGGTAGAGTTGGGCATCTGCAGCGTGCTCGTTTGCATGCTGTGCTGTGTGCGAATGCCATTTTCCCTGAACTGCTTCCGTTTGCTAAATGCTATCACCCAGCATGGGGCCCACATCAAGGGCCCCCAGCCCTTCGAATCGACACGGGATTCAAGGCGCTAAACTCATGGTCCATGGGATGCTGTTGGGGTCATGTTCTTGGTTCGGGTGGTTTGGCTGTCGCCTCCCAGGTGAGTTGCAGAAACACTTTAGCTGCCCGACATGCTGCAACCAAGGCCTCGTGGAGCTCATCCATTCCCCTTTTGAGAAGATCCTGCGGGAGGAAGCAGAGGTTTCAGGGATTTGCACCAAGTACACCGGAAAGACGTCGGATGCACCGAATGCAACCTGCACTACCTGCACATGCGCTCAGAACGAGGCTCCTCCTCAAGGCTTCTGCAACCCACCCCGTCGTTCCTTGACTTCGCAAACATCAGCCAAGAAGGATGCACGAAACAAAATGGTAACCAAAACGGTATCTTCACACACACACACACACACATGTGAATGTTCGAGTGTGCGGAAAAGCTTGGGGAAGGCGCACGACACGGAAGATGCAAGTGAACACATCGTGCTGGCAGCCCTCTTGCTACCAGTACTCAGCAAGAACGGACTCCACCAGTCCTCGTAAGGCTGAGGATACGGCTTCGATAGATAGGATCCGTTCTACAGTCAGGGAGCGGAGGCAGCTTCAGGCGGTCGGCCACCACAGCACAGTGCGAGCGCCACAGAGAAAGGAAGTGCTCGAACTGACATTTCACCGAGTCCTCGGCGCTCCCCAGGAATTCTGACGCCCTGTTCCTATCTTCACTCCTCTCCTCTCATCGGGCAGAACAGCGGCCTCCTGGAATCCGAAGGCCGATTGGAGTTTTGCAAAGGCTGTGGCGGCCTGCGCTACTCCAGCAATGCACTTGTGTAAGCAGCGGCCAAGACGGACAAAGTAGGGCCTGATCCCGCCAGAAGTCGCCCCCGGGCAGTGTGCGAAGCGATGTGCCTCTGCAGGGCTGCGCTCTTCAATGCGGTATCCAAAGCCTCCTTGCGAAAAAGAGACTGCGATCCGTTCTTGACGCCCGGGCCTCGTCGTCTCCCTTCACTCCCTCGGCTTTTGAAGTCTCAGAGTTCTCGGGATGCCATGAGGGGAAGTGGTGTACAGTTGAAAGATCAGATCTCGTTGAGATCTCTAAAGCCTCAGATACACTGCCAAGGCACGTCCATCACCGCTCCAGCACTGCTTCAGATCCTCCATGAGAGCTCCGTCAGCCTCGATGCCACCTGAACATGTCACTCCGAGCTTCTAGCTTCATACAAGACTGTACGGCCAACGTATGATCCACTTAACTGTCTCGGAGCTCTCTCTTGCTTGCACAGCGTGTGGGGTCAACAGCCACGGACCCCTGAACCCTGCGCAACGCGCTACGCTGAGTGTCCACGTCTGGTTGGTTGGTGAGATCTGGGTAGGAGCAGCAGAGCTGCACCGGCATGCCGGTGTCACAGTTGCCAACAGGTCCCTGCACTAGACAAGCCCCCGTGAGTGGCCCCCATGAACCCAAGTCCCGCCTAGTCCAGCTCACATGCTCCCGACCCCACTCGTTGGTCGCTACTACTAGTCGTGCTTTTTCGTTGCCACGGTTTCGAGGGCACGCTTGCCACTTCTGTGGAGGGGTCCTTGTTAGGCTGCCCTGCGAGGTTAGAGTAGCTCACGACTACGTTGGGTCCCCACTCCTTGTTCGTGGCTTGGCGACCTACTGTACTCTTTTTGGTTTGGTGGGTGTTTGCTGTGGCTGGCAGTTGGTTTCCGGGTGGAGGAGACAAAGGCACGGGCAACCAGGGCCAGTAGGGGTAAACGCTCACAAACATGGGTCCCCAACTGCCAAGTGTTGGTGTGCTGTGGCGGGCGCGGGTTCCGTCGCGGGGAAGCAAGGGGGAAAGGGAAACCGCTCTCTTGCTTGCAATCGGACAAGGGAGCGCGCGAGCACTCCCCGCGCCCGTAGGCGCACCGGTCTCCAGGTCTGTGTGACACCGGCAAAAAACTGAGGAATGGCCTGGCTCTTGCAATCCCCCCTTTGTACGCTGAACACTAGACAACCCCTGGCCTCCTCTTTCCCCCATGTTGGGGCACGCTGGTTGGCTCTGTGCTGCCCCCAGCTTGTTCTCACAGTGCTGGCTTCACAACTCAAGCATCTTTTGCAACAGGACTTCAGCAAGTTCAACTGCTTCAGCACTGCTCGCTAGACACTCTGAGGGCCGCACCTTGCAACACATGTTCCGGAATATCCACCGTAACACACTGAGTCCCACAACACCCTCGATTTAGCTGCAGTACCTATCCCTCGTTGTTGAGGTTCCTTTGCAGCTACTGGGGCTTGGCATCCTGTTACATGCGGCATACAGCACCTACCTCCCTCCCTCGCTCTCTTTCTTTCGCCAGGGCTATGGTGCAGGGGTTTAACCCCCTACACCGCGCGCATGTGCGCCCCCGACTGTTGCGGAGGAGAATCTAAGGCATTCCGCAAAACATCGGCTCTGGACCTGTAAAAAGGACCAAGCTCAGCACTCAGCTACTGCACTTCGAGAAGCCAAAGCAACAGGATGAAGAAGTGCCAATATCAGAACAATTATCATAGAGGGCCCGAATCAAGCAGAAGTTCAAGGGCTTCAAGTGGAATGCCGACGGGGGTCCCCGGGCAATTGCAATCAAAAGAAAACTTATGGGCACATCCCCGGCAGACTGAAAATCGAATGGCATCAGGCTTTGAATTACCTCGAGCGGAGGTACGGCAAGTTGAGAGATAGCTGGCTCCTGCGGCCCGTCATATTGTACATGGAAGAAGAATTTCTTCTGGGGAATTCCCCACACTCAGTTGGAAAAGAACGGAGAGGCACGAAAACATCGAAGGGATTCGATCTGTTCACTCATGCAAGCCTTCATGCCTAAACTACTCGGTCAGTCCCAGAAAACTGCTGCACTGACGGTTGCGCTCACTGCTCAGGTCTCTTCACGGGCGCTGCATTCTCGCGAAGGTTGACGGCGTCGGGGTAGGGGTGAGCCCCTGCGCTCAGGAAGTGTGTTTCTTCTCCTCGGCAGAGGCGAGCGCGTGCGACTTCTCACTGGGGCATCTCCCCGGCTTGTGGCAGGTGTGGACCTATGACTGTCCTTTGACCAGGTACCCGATGCACGTTCACGTCGCCGGTGTTGTCGATATTGTTCTTTCGTCGCTTTGCGGTAGGCAGCCCACATTTGCTCGTCTGTTGAGTACTGTTGCAGGCCAAATGGGGCCTGCCCCTGTTCATCTCGTTGTTTTAGAAGAGCATGTAGTCTGGCTCTTTGCTGCGCCGTAAGGGACGGAGGGGGTCCGGTAGGCGAAGGGGGAGCCACCCCTGGATGCAAATCGTGCTCTTCGTCGGACTCTGGGCTTGGCGGTTGCTCAGGTGCAAGGAGTGCATCCTTCTCACACGCCTCCTCGTCGAACTCGGGCCTCAGAGACTGTTTGGGTACGATTGGTTCTCCTTCATCACGGACTGCTTGGGGCTCGTCTGAGCATTCGAACTTCAGGTCGTTCTGGCGGTATAGGGGAAAGATCATGACGTTGTCGACATTGTCGCTGTCCGGCAGATCTTTGAGGACATCAATGGAGGGGTGTAGCCCCTGGGACACTTCACCTTCTCGTTGCCAGCCTGGTGGTAGGGGTTCAAGCCGGGCCCAAGTAGCGGGGTCTGGCTCCTCGTAATCTTTGGAGCTCTCCTTGGGTGCTGCATTGTCATGCAGCTCAGTAGCGCCATCCGAGTGTTGGTACGTTGCTCCTTGATCGTGTAATCCATGTGGATGAGGGCGTTCTCGGAGGTCAGGATCGTCACGTGGGGCAGGTTTCGCAGCTGCGGGTCCGACTGATGGTTTTCCCGGTGCTGTCATAGGACCGGCTGGGATTGCCCTTGCTGCGCCGGCTTCCAGGGGAGTAACCCCGCCAAAAACGTTCGAACGTCTGATTGGCACCGGCAGGGTCCATATGGTCCATTCAGGTTCTGGTTCCTGGGTTGGCTCAACTGGACCAGCGGGGTGCATAGAAGTCGGCATCGAAGGTCTCGAAGGTGAGGTTGAAGAGGTCGCAGGGGACATCCCCGGAGCTGAGTGCGGTGATGGCGGCACGAGGTCGGCAGGAGCGCTAGCCGTGGCACAAGGGGGACGCTGTATTGACCGTTCCCTTTTCGACTGGCTTTTGCTTTGGATGCCGAAAAGGTTTTGCAAAGGATCCTCTAAGAGCTCGCCCGAGATCTCCTCGTCCTGGGGCGAAGGTGTCCCCACCTGCGGTACCTGCGGTTGTGGTGCTTCTCGTCGGCGTTTACGGTGCTTTCTGGCCTCAGTAGGGGGGGGGGAGGGGGGGGGGGACGTGGAGGTAGAGGGCCTCGAAGCAGCAACTTCACGGGCAGCATCTATGGCAAGCTGAACCTCTTGTTCTAGCAGGAGCTGACGTGCTTTGGCTGGTGTAGGGTTTTCTAGTCCGAACAGCACGCAGTTATCTGCCAGTGGATCGTGCTTCTTATGGCTTTGTTCACCGATAAGGCATCTCTGACACACACGGGCTTCAGATGCTTTGGAGGGGGGTGTTTCCCCCGGTGCTGTCGCATCTCCTGGGCCTGCGGCTCTCGGCGTTGAGCTTGAGGGGGCTACCCCGCTGGAGAGAGCTTTCTTGACCTCAGCGTCGATCTGCTGCTGGCGCAAATAAGCCCCCATCTCCTTCGGATCTTGGCTGGAACAACCATGAAGAATGCAGTCTGGGTCCTTGCGGTTATGTCCACTATGGCAAGAGGGGCCTTTGAGACATCGCAGGCACCTGGGGGTAGGTCCCCTAGTTTCCTCAGGGGTTTGCCCCTGTTTTGGGGCCATGGCGTAGGCAACGATGTTCTTCTTGGTGCCGTCGGGGAAGTGTCACGATGCACAACGAGGGCAATCTGTACGACCCGTACCGGTTGTCGGGAATCGTTCCCCGGGCAATGGCAAAGAGAAGTGTCGCCGATATTGCTCAGGTAGCTAATGACAGCGTCCACAAGGAGGTGGCAAGGCAGCGGTCACCGTGCTGGTCCGAAGCCACCGAAGTCACAGAGGACAACCTGGAAGGTGAACAACGCAGAGAAGCCGTACTCCCCTTTCAGCAATGCGTCGGAAGAAAGTTCAGAGAGAAGGCGGAGTGACGGGACAAGATTGGTTGTCCCGTGGGGGGCTAAGAAGAAGTAAGGAAAGAGGGCTCACGGAGGGCCCCCCACGGGCTTGAACCGCTCACGGCTTGAGCCAAAATCCCTCGCTCTCTCTTTCTTTCTGTCTTTCTGCAGGGCGTAGGGGTCGTCAAGCGACCCTCAGGCCTTCGGCCCGCCCAGCCTCCCCACTGTGTTAGTGAGTGGCCGGCCTTGGGGTTTTTCCTGAAAGTGGCATCGAACTACCTGGTGTGCTCCCGGTTTTCATGTAGCAAGCCCCACCCTTTACACTAGGACCCCCCGCATCCCGGCCTCTTCACCGCGCCCCTGTGGCTAGCCAGAAACCATACCGTGGGGTTTGCTGCATTACATGACCACCGTGCTGCACGTTCGGCTGTTCAGGGCAACACTGGGAGCGACGAAAACAGCAGGTTAATGTAACCTACATCGTAGCGTGGTGTTCCCCTGCTCCCTGTGGTCCCCCTTTGGGCTTACAAAAAAGGGCTGCTGTACGTCCCCACTCTTGCGTCGCTCTCCCCTGCAGTTGAGGTTTGAGCTGCCTGCCACGGGGCTGGTGGGAGCGAAGAACTGCCGTAGCATACCGGGACCCTATATATGCGCAACACGGGCTGCTAACCAAGGACCTGTGTGTTCTCCCCCGTGGCATGTGACTACTCGCGGGATCGTCGTGACACGTGTTGGGGTTCCACTCTTGAGGCCTCATGCACAGCGAAACGTCGGCTAAAGACTCGACTAGCTGCCATTACAGGAGCCCCAAGCCTCGGCTACTCAAGTGGTGTCCCCTGGTTCTGCTCGCCTCTGCTTGGGTCCCCGGTGAGCGTTGGTTACAGGTCGAAGGAAACAAGGTGCGATCATGCGATGCTAGTTCACCTCGCTCTCCGGTTCCCCCCGCTGTGCGAGTGTTTGAAAAGGCAGCGGGTTAGGAGAGAGCAACAGTGCAAGTGCAGACTAGACAACACACTCCCTCCTCACTCACTCTCCCCCGTTCCTGCTGCACTGCTGAAACCGCAGCTGCCCTTTGCTCGCTCTGACCCGTTACTCAGCTGTAAGTACCCCTACCCTAACTCACCGTCGAAACCACGGGCCTAACTCAGTCGTTTTGGTCTAGCGAGCTAGGGTTAGTGAAGCGCCGGCGCGGCTCAGGTGAGGCGTGTCGTTGGTGCTCAGTCCTCCGTCGCCCCGCAGCAGCCGCGGCGGTTGTAGGCATCGTGGAGGTTCTGGCCGCCGTGGACCCATCGTCGTCGTTTGCGAGTTCGAGGTGCTCCCCCGTCCCCCAGTAGCTCTGGGCCCATGTGTCGAGGTCGTGCAGGGCCTTCTCGAGGAGTTCCAGCAGCTCCCCCGTGAGAAAGGGCAGCAGTGCCCGCAGCTGTTTGCGCGCCCGGAAGATCAGCAGGCCGTCCGGTTGCACGTGTGGAGGTCGTCGTTCAGAGGCTCCCCCATGTAGCGCTATGACGTCTGCGGGGTGAGCATGCACGCGCTCAGCTTCCCCCTTGTGTGGGTAACTCCCCACGAGGACCTCCACTCCGTCAGCGGCCGCCTCCAGCATGTTTCGTAGTTGCCCCAGCTCCATGTTCCCCACTGGATAGGAGGCGATCATTGCTTGGAGCTGCGCTTCTGCTTCTTCCCCCGCGTCCGTGGCGTTGTGGGTTCGCTGCCAGTTGCTGGAGCGTAAGCCCCCCCACAGCAGCGCTTGCCCGCTTTGCGTAAGCTCCATGACCTCAGCAAGTTCCCCCTCCGTTGGCGGGTCACCTTGGGCAGCTCTGTCGTCTAAGATCCCCGTCATGAGCGCGGCGATCTGGAACGCGTTTGGGGACGGAGGGGGGGTTCTCCCCCGTCTGCCCACATTGCCGTCTGAGGCAAGGCTGAGGCTAGTGGCGGCGGCTGCCAGGTGTGCTTGTACTCCGTAGAGCTCAATGGAGCGTGCTAGCTCCATGGCTTCGAGGATGTGTTCTGCTGCTGCTCTCTCTCTCTCTCTCTCTCTCTCTCTCTCTCTCTCTCTCTCTCTCTCTCTTTATATATATATATACACACAAGCATGCATACACACCCACACACACATATATATATATATATATATGTATATTCATGTAGTTGTGTATAAGTACAAGTAGGGGGCTTGCAGAAAGCTTTCAGCCGATGCTCCGGCCTCGCTCTAAAGACTGGACGTCGGCGACCATCGTCGAGGCCCGGGTCCGTGGGGTGCGGAAGAGGCTGGGAGCAAAGAAGGACCTCAAAAACTGCTGGGTTCTCATGGAAATTTGCAAAATGCGGGAGTTAGAGGTGATTCCTTTTGCTTTAGGGTTCTTTGCTCTTCTCCAAAACCTCGCGCAAGGCCAGGATGGCCGAGCGAGGGGTTGAGAAGAGGACAGGTTAGCAGTACCACGCAGCAGGATTTACAGGCTTAGGCAAGATGATGTCGAAGCCGGGCTGCTCCAAGCAGGACCCACTGCTGGAAGCGGGTCGTCGGCAGCACATCTGCAGCTTTGGCAACACGGTTGCAGCCACGGCGGCTAGCACCGCAGCAAGGGCCACCTGAGCTTTGGGGGTTGCCGCCACGATCCCCACGTTCGACCCACATCCCATAGCATGCCAGCATGGAACTTGCGGGCTCCTGCAGTGCAATCTGAGTGCCGACATCCGCGCCAACTTGGAGTTGCCGTGGCTGATGCAGTATGGCGGCCCGGGCACATTGCAGCACTCGCGGCTCCTAGCAAAGGCTGTTGCTTCCGTGGCTTTCTGCAATGGCAGCAGGTCCTGAGTTGCAATTGGAGGGAAGAAGATCAAACGCACCGTGCCTCATGAGAACATCGCCCCAAGCGCAGCAAGCCATGCTGGCCGCTTTCATGGAGCTAGTCTCGTTGGCTGCCTGAGCAACATAAGCCGTACACCTGAGTTCAAATTACTGATGCGGTTGTGGAACATCCGCGCCTTGGAGCACATCTGGAGGGCCTCCTGCATCCGTTCGGTGAAGGATCCGTCCACTGCCTGGAATGCAGTGGGCTCGGTCTGTGAGGTTTCATTCATGACTTGGGTCGAAACCTTTATCATTTGTTGCGCTGCCTTTTTCGCCGTTGGGTGACCTTCTTTTTCGCTAGCTTGCATCTGTTCGGCCAGATCGTGCTTCCCGCCGGAGAAGCCCAAGGCATCCCAGCAGACACCCGCCACAACACTTTTCAGCGAAAGCATGGAGGTGCCGAAAGAAGGAATCGGGATCTTGTCCATTCGATAAGAGCACCTTGAGTGGAAGCAGAGCGGCACCCCTTTCCTGCAATTCTTTCACAGACAGGTTAGGAATCAGGAATTCGGAGCTACCCTTTTCACCCCATTCGTTTTTTGTGTAGCCATCACCCGTAAAGAGATGACTTGCCCCAAACCATGTCCACAGCAGGACACGAAAGTCAACGAATGTGCGCTCGGTCCTGTCCAAGAAGCGGCGTGGAGTCAAGAAGATGCTCGGGTCTTGGTCAATATCGGCTGCATCCACATGCTTGACTGACCTATACACGCTCAGGAACTCCTTGGACTTTACAAAGTCAGCCATGTTTGTTTGCGTGCACTCTTTTCCATATTTCTCGGCGTACTCGCACAGGCCAGGAACCGTGGCAACACACTGAAGCAGTCCTTCCCAAGTGGCACGGACACCAATCGGGGTCTCCTGTGCTTCCCCTCCTCTCTGTTCCCCACTGTTCGTGGTAGGCAGCAGGATGATTGCAAAACGGCGCTTATCCTTCTCCAAGACGTGGTCAATCCACGAGGCTTCACAGCCCAAATGCACCAAGAACTCGTGAACCATGCATGCCCCATACTCAACAAGCAGTTTGTGACAGCCATCGGGGCCAGTTGCGAAAACAAACGGTTTTCTGTCTGGCTGCTGGGGATCGTCCAAGTCCACAGACATGGAAAGGAAGGCAGGTCCGTTGCTGTCGTGGCGAAAAATCCTGCCGCAAACATCCAGCTGTTGCTGCGGTGACCCGCCACGTTGGAAGAACTGTAAGAAGTGCTGCGGGCCGTCTGACATCATGTGAACACTTTGTCGACTGCAACCGCCGTCGTATTGCCTACAGCATCTCTAGCTTGTTCTAGGTTGCCTTTTCCGCTTGTCGAAGCAGGAAACTTCGAAATTGAGTCGCTGCTGCAAGCTTTGCTTATCTGCACGTGAACCTACGAGGCTGCCTAACAATGCGCGTCGGCCATAGGGCAGCGCGAAGAGCATGAACACCAAGCTTGACATCCTCGTTAAACTAAGCTAAACCTGCCACTTTACCCCAGCACCCGATGCCAGCCCTTGCCTGTCCGTATTGGCGAGCCAACTGTCCGAGATCGCCATCTGCCTGCCGACTCAAGCTTCAACATGACTGCAAGCTGCCTGCGCCGTCAATCAAGAACAGCCACTTCTTTAGAACATACGCCGCGTCTACGGAAGGCCAGATCTCCAGACGTTGCATGTTGCTATCTACACTGGTACGATATGATGTTGTCTCATACTTTGCCATGTGCCCCAGCTCCCTGTATGGGGCCTGGTTGATTCGCTCGCAGTTCCAGTGCTGCAACGCTTTCAACTGTGCCTCCGAGGCATCTGCGGCCTGATTTGTTTGAGTCTCTAGGGTTAGCCCTTTAAGCCTCAGGAATTTGGACATGTTTAGGGGTATAGGGATCTGGGGATCAGGGCCGAAACCAATAGGTGATCACAGCGCACTTCTGGCCAGCGACTTGGTAGGCCCATGTATGCATGCATGCACTTCTGCACGTATGCAGGTACGTACGCACATATGCTTATATGTACGTGCGAATGTATGCATGCATGATCATGCATGCATGAATGCATGCATGCATGCATGAGTGCATCCATCTGTCTATCTACCTATCTATCTATGTACCTATGTATCTACGTATGTATGTGTACCTGCATATGCACAGGGATGTGCATGTATGCATGTGCATGCATGTATTAATATCTCTGTATCTATGTATCTATGTATCTCCATGACTCGAGCTTATGAATATAACCAATGTATAAACGTAACTATGTATCTACGTATGTTTTGTATCTATGTATGTGCCTGTGCATGTATGAATGTATGTATGCATGTACCTATGTACCAATGCATCGATGTACCTATGAAAATATGTAAGCAGGTGAAGGTACTTTCAGCAGTCAAGCAACAAGGAAAGTATGCATCCATGCATGAATGCCTGCATGTGTTTGTGTGTGTGCGCGCATGCACGTGTATGCGGACGCGCACCCGCATCGGATGAGATTTCGAATGGGCATTTGCACGTGTATGTGTATGTGTACATGTGTATGCCTGTGTGTATGTGGGGAGGTACATGGAACGTCTATGTGTACATGTATTTGCATGCGCTGAGTATGCGCGTGATTGCTTGCGTGCGTGCATGTATGTATGTATGTTTGTCTGTATGTAATTATGTATGTATAGGTATATGTGTATGTATGCAAGTTTGCCCGTGTATCCATCAATATATGATGTAAAACTAAAACCCCAAATAAGACATTGTGATATGAAGCAGCATGATAAATCGGTGCACTGCAGTAGAAAAATCAAACATGATACCATACTTAGTAATTGGTAATGCACGATGGCTTAACTAAGTTAATCCGACAAAATCTGGTATGATACAATGTAATCTGAACTTGTACAACATAATGTCATGTAATACAGTAACATGGAATAGGTAGGCTACAACAGCATGTAACCGAAAAGAATATCATGTGATACCATATGGTGAAATTTAATTTCACATAACCTATTGTACAGTATTGTAATCTATCACAATATGAAAAGTATAGTAAAATATAACCGAACATATATAACGTAGAACAGCTCAACACAACCTTACAGGATACCATATTTTGTATGTATGAATTCGTGTTTGTATGTATTTATCTACAATGTGATGTAATGCACGTAATCTGACGTAATTTAGTGATATGTAATGTAGTGCTCTGTAACGTAGGGTAATCTAACGTAATGTGATATAACGTGATGTATGTCTGTCTGCGATGTGTGAATGTATGTAGTTTGTGTATATATGTATGTGTGCAGGCATTTGCGTCTGTACAACAGTATAAACGCCACGACCGAGTCTATGCGGGGTTCTGAAAACGGTTGAGACACATTTTCCGTAGTTTACATGATACGGGAAGTATCTGCGTTCTCAAACGGCGAGTGGCGAAGCTCGGCAAGGAAATTTCCGCAACAGTGAACCGGAAGAACAAGGGTAGGGTTCAGGCTTTATGGTTCTGTCACCAGATTTTCCGCGTTTTAGAACAGAGACTTGGAAAACTCTTGATTCAGATGGTGCCGCAATGCAGCCACGCAGAAACAGAAAATGGGTAGTTGTCAGGGGTACCATGTGCAAGCATTAATAGATATACACTGCATATCACTGCGTTCTAGCATCCTGTTCTATCATGCTGTCCCATGCGAGGATATAGTAATATGAGATATGATATGATCTGGGACTACCTCTGATATATACACATATATGTATATATGTATATAATATACAGACATACATACATACATATGAACATAGCCTGCAGACAACACCCAGAATTACAAGCTTGCGTGTGCTTGCCACCAAGTGACGGGACTACAACTGCAGTCCACCGCTGCAGCTTCCAATCGCCACTCCTGGATCGTTCAAAAGAAGGTGTTGCTCACTGCAGCATCGTTAGTCCTATTCCCACCTCCACTTGGACCGCGTCAAGGTTACTTTGCACCTTGTGGTCTTTCTGAGTGAGAAAGCTTAAGAGCACACAGGACTTTCTGTGATGATTGGTCACCACAGTGGGCCTCGCCTGGTGGAGAACCCGTGGGTCTCCGACGACGACCCCAAGCAGACATGGCCATAGCTGGGGCATGGGCTCTGGTCCGGGGAGGCTGAGGCAGGGGCTGTGCCACTTCGAGTGCTGTCATATAAGACTTCGCCTTTTCTCGGGATATCCCGTGGTCAGTGCTTGGTGAAGGGAACCTTGATACTTTATCCCTTGAGGCAACGGCAACTAGGATCCGCTGCAGCTTTCAATCAGTCAGCATCGATGCATGCAGGAACATCCAAAACGTTGCCAGGCAACGAACAATCATTTGCCGCAGGAGTGGTCGTTCAGTGCACAGAGGTCCTGGGCCAGCCCGCACTTCCTTCAAAGACATCAGCACAGGACACTTTTGATGGTTATTTAATGATTCTGCATTGGCTGTGTTCTGCGGTGCTCTTCCGGCCCTGGTCCCCAGTGCGCAGAAACACCAATAAGTTCCAAACCCAGCGCCAGCTTTAGTGGCTGCCAACTATATACTTGAATCAGCAACTGCCCAGACTTGGCAGCACGCTGCAGCATCATGTGACAGGCTGGAACAAGTGGATATTTGTACGATTACAGCCTAGTGAACGAAGCCACCTTGCCGGTGTTACCGATGGGCGTTCCATCCCACTGATGCCTGCAAGCTGACAAACATCTGGTTCTCTTCTCAGGCGTCGCGCGCAGGAAGAAACCTGACACCTGCTCTGCGAGTCTGCGCACCTCTGCGCAGTTTGCACAGGCCGCGCGATTCCGTTCTACTAGATTCTACTAGGAAAAAACGAATTATCATCTTCTCAGAAGTGTGCTGAGCTCCCTTGAAGCAGCAGATATAAACCTCGTCAAGGAAACGATATTTCGGATCGGCTGCCGGGTTTCGGATCAGAGCGGGTCGGCGCCTAGTTTCGGCACAGTGGGAGTCAGTTTCGGGACGCGGGTCTGTCAGTTTCGTGGGGCGAGGTGGGCATTTTCAGTCCGATTCTCGCAGGCCCGGGCCTAAAACTGACAATGTCCTGATCCGAAACTGTCCCGGACCATGTTCCGAAACTCCGCCCTGAAACTCAGCACCAACACTAACCTCGAAAACCCTGAAACTCTCAACTTCCCTAGTCTCATGCCTGGCAAAGGGAGCTTCACA